ACTTATAACAGTTTATTTAGCGACCATTCGAAGTTACAGTGACTTATTACCATTTCTCGCACTTACGACCATTTTTCACACTTAAAGACCACTGCTGCATCTCCGTAGTCCCCCAATCCAAATTCAGACAGCAATGGACTCATGTAGATGATTGGTCACGGTGTCCCGTGGTTACGGGATTACCTTTTGCGACCTTTCGACAAGGAAAGTCAATGGGGAAGCCCAATTCACTTAACAACGGTGCTATTAACTTACAACCGCAACTATTCACTCCATGCGCTATGGCAAGAAAGGTGGGTAAAATGGGACAAGATTCACTTCACAAGTGTCTCACTTAGCAACAGAAATGTGGGACTCAAATTGCGGTCGTAAACCAAGGACTCCCTGTAACTCCTTTAAGAGAGGCTCGAAGCAACACCCCCACAATCGCCCAAAGGGCCACTGCCCACTATGAGCACCTCACAGCCGATGGTCCCGGCTTAACCAGGGACCCTTTCTCCATAACTGGGAATAAAAAGGCAAAGGCAAAAAAACCACTGAACGGCGACCAGCTTTACTCTGCTCAGTTACTCTGGGATGCCCAGGAAAGACGATCCACGACGCGCCATCTCTCCAAACGCCCCCTCCCTCCCTCCCCCCTCTCTCTCACACACACACCTCGCCTCTCTTGACTTCTCCCCCTATGACCAAGCTGTCCGACTTACCCACTCCAGCACCCTCAGGAAAGCCAGGGGCTCCTTCACCGCCCGAAAACTGCCCTTGGAGGCCAGCTGTGAAGAAAGGAAGGGGGAAAAAAACCAGGGCAAAGTCAGAGGATGCCCAGAGCCCGGGGGGTGGGGGGGAGAGGGAGGGGGAACCCAACCTTCGCGCGCCTGTGGCTAAGCCTTCCCGCGCGCGCGCCTCCTCCTCCTCCTCTTCTTCCTCCTCCTCGGGCTCCTTTACCTGGTCGACGGTTTCCATGCCTGCTCGGCTCTCGGCGCGCAAACTTCAGCTCCCTCCGCTCCAAGGCACAGGTGACTGTGGCTGCGGCGCCCGGCTGCGAAAAGCGTCCGGAAAGAAGGCGATAAAGCTCGTCGCCTGAGGCGAAGAGCCTCGGCTGGTTGGCGAGGCTGAGTTGCCGGAGAATTATCCACCGCTCGAGCCGAGCCGAGCCGAGCGCGCTGGGCAGAGGGAAAGAGAGGAGGGGGCGGGCTGCCCGCCTTTCGCGCCTTCGCCTTTGCTGCCTTCGTGTCAGCAGTGTGAGGGAGTCGAGCTGAGGGGCAGGCGCGGCTAACGGCGGGGCCTTAAGACGGCTTCTGCCCGGGCAACTCCAGCGCGTTCCCTCCGCTTTCCCCCCCGAATGGAGCCGACTACCTTGGGAAGTCCGAGGTTTTGAAGAGGCAGAAAGGGAGAAAGAAGCAGGCGGTCCTGGACACGACCACGCCGTAACAATCTCCGCGCAACGCCCCTGCCTGTGGCTATCACCAGTTGGTGACAGGCCTGGCGCTGCCCCTGTTTAATGCATCCCCCAAATTTACCCCCACTTTCCTCGTGAACTTTGAGAAGCCTAGAGATTATTCACTTTTATATGGTTACTTAGAAATCAGCCCTAGTTTGCTTTTGGGGACCGATGTGGATGCTTTCTTCTAACTGAACATCTGTGGAGATTCTCAGTCATCCAGGTCATGGGCTGTCCCAAAGGTGAAAAAAGGTATTTTTTTTTCAAGAGGCAACTGGACTTTCTGGGTTTTCTTTGAAGATGTTTTGCTTCTTATCTCTTCAGAGCTGAAACAGCTTCTTGGATGAGAAGCAAAATGTCTTCAAAGAAAACCAGAAAGTCCAGTTGCCTCTTGAAAAAATACCTTTGGGAAAAACCACTGAGTAGTTAGTCAAGTCTGTCTCAGGAAAGACTTGAATAGCCCTCCCATACAAGCATAGAGAAAAACAAGGAACACCACTTCTGCTTGGTAGTACAGTGAGAATGCAATGATGGTGAAGAAATCAGTCTTTTTGCTGTTGGAACACAACCAGTCATTTAGATTTCTACTGGTTCAAATTCACATCAGATTTGTATCTTTACTGATTTGCTTGGTCATCTAGAATTGCTTAGTCAAGCAAGGAATGTTCAGGGCTCTTCGTAACTGGGAAGAATGTGTTAGATTGACAGTGTCAACAGCCCTTACTACTTTACAATTCTACAGCAACATTTTACTGTAGCTTAATAGAATTACTAGCTATTGCACCTGGAAAGCTTTCTAGAGAGTTGTAGGAATACCTTAGATTTCATAGCTTTGAGGATGGACAATCTTAATTGAGGCTTTGTCTTTATAGCTCAGCTATAACCAGATATAACCTTATCAGGAAGGAATTGTCCATGATAATGAATTGATTCTACCTCTGCCAAACTATCATATCTTTAAGCAAGCATAGAATATTTGTAGACAGGCTTATCATGGATTACAAAACCTGAGTCAGACTTTCCAGAGCAGATAAATAATCTCTGTCAGCTAAGGCAAGAAAATTGGGCAGCAGTATGAGTGTTAGACCAACAAGTTTTTGCTTCTGCTTCTGTGTTCAAAATCCAACATAATTTCCAAGAAGAATTAATGAGACCTTTGGTGAGACTTAAAATCTGATGGTTATCTGCAACATCATCCACGTTCCTGTCCATATATCCATCCAGTCACACCTGGTCAACCCTTATTCATGTATCCTCAGCACAAAATTACTCTAACCTTTAGAAAGCATTTACTGAAGAGCTATTGTAAGACACAATTTGGAATATACCATTTCCTTTTTCCAGCATGTCTCTGAGCAATAGTTTTGATGATTGTCAGTCTTTCTGTATGCTCTGGTTTACTGGTCTATTCTAATTGTTCCTTGAGATTTTTCCATGGTGTGTTGATATTTATTTAGCCTGAGATGTGTATCTGTGATCACAAGCCCTATCTTTGTATTGATGAACTTATCTAATTTGGTGTGTTTCCATACATTGATGATATTATCTATTTTGGTGATGAAATGTCTGCAAGAAAACAACCAAGCTCAGAGAACACTAAGAAGCCCACAGAGATAAGTACTTTCAGACCTGCAAGATTCTGTTAATGTAACCTTACAATGAAGTAGAATTGTTCACCTGGCTGGATTTTCTATCTGGTCTACCTTGCAAGGCTGATATAAGGGCATGAGTGAAAATGGGCAGAGCTCCCCAATCCAGAACAATAACCTGAAGTTGTACAAAGGCTTTCCTTGCTACAGCTTTCACCTGCTTTTAGTATAAAAGACTTGGGGGAATTTTGAAGGTTTAAAGGAGCATTTTTAAAATATGTTTTAAGAATTAGTTTTTAAGAAGATAATGAAATTCCTCAACTAAAGTTCCACATCTAAGCCCCAAAAATACTACTTAGCAGCAAGGAAGTACCATTTACTATAATAAGTAACTATTTACAGTGGGTAGTCATTCATGAAATGTGTCAAAATTATCAAATGTTTTCTGGTCTATTTAAAAATAGCACCATTGATCATATAATTTGCTAATCTGTTACCATTTTTTTTACATTCCTTGACTTAATAATATATAAGTTCAATATTTCTTCATAGGAATAAAGCATGAAGAATAACATTATGTTCAGAATTGTTCAGAACTTCACTGTGCCAATAATTCTTCTAGCTCACTTATATTTGTTTATATAGGAAAAGATGGGTCATACATATTCACATGGATTTTTAAGTGGAAAGAATCAAGCATTGTAAAACTTGCAGTTTACCATGAATTAGTACATGTAGCTGAAATTCTTGTTGAGAAAGAATGGAACATACAATGGCCATTTTTATTTGACCTGTATTTCCTGATCTATATGACATGGCTCTGATTTGTGCTGCTGAATATTTCAGCAGGAATTCTGTCAAATGATTTCTCTGCTATATTGCTTTGCAATGAAGGAAATGGGCAAATTATATTTCATTTGGTAAATAAAAGATCACTTGAGGGATTTGTCTAATCATATCATCCATAGAAGTTCGTACCACATGAAATTTCATTAGAACAGATCATCTTCAACAAAATAATACCCCCTCGGATGAATTAGTGATAAAAAAACTTTGGATTGTGCAGAGATGGACAAATTAACACTGAAATTAAAAGATAAAGAATTTACATAGGGAGCTCTTTCTTAAGAGCACTGGAAAGNCTTAATTGGTTTGTGACTCTCCGAGACTCCTTGCCAAGTTTTGCAGATATCGGTCTGTCAGCTCTTCAAGCCAGATAAGTTCTGTGACTGTATATCCTCCCTTGAAAGACTTTGATGGATGTAAAATGAGCAGAATTCACAGCAAATTAATAGAAGAGGTTTTTGTCATGATAAAGGAGTTTGCTTCAGGCTCTTGAGAAGCCTAGGTCAGAACAGTAGAACTGATGTTCTCAAGTATTCTGCAACTCTTTGGAGTCACCCGGTTATTACCAAGCACCTGGTTTATTCACATCAGGCACTTCTACAAGAAACACACTACCTTGAAATAGCAGTGTAGTTTACACAAATGCTAGAACAAAGTACTATAATAGATTTTGTCTTCAGCCAAAACCACAAGGTGTCAGCACAACTTTTCTTTCATGTAAGAGTGTGGAAAAGATGTACAGAATTGAGTGTCTAGTGAGGTACCAAAGGCTGCTAAGAAAAATTGTATGCCGTAGGTTTTTTTTAAAAAACAGTTTATGTAATGCTGAATTGCTACTAATACACAAATGAATGTAAACCTGTGAATATCATGTAGCACAGTTGTCTTTATATGGTGATCTGTTGTGAACTTGATTTCTTCATACATTTAAATAGTCATGTCCCGTTTGCTACTATATTACCATGTCATCTTTAAAAATGTTTAAGGCTTAATCTGCCCATTTTTCAGGGAGCATGCCCTGGTACCCTTCTTTTGAAAAAAAAAAAAAGGTTAGGTTTCATGTCTCCGATTTGATTTCACTCCAAAATTAATTGGAGTGCTACTTTTGAATAAATGTGGACCACATGTAAAGCTTTAACTTGTATGTATAAATATATAACATTTCTTGTAATGTTACTCGGTACTCAAAGATTCCAAATAATTACAGTTCTTTGTATTCATCCAATAGAATTGTTGGTGGGAGTTGTCTTAACGCAGCTGGACCAAAAATATAATCCCTTAAATCTCATATCAAATTAATATTGTGGCTCGGGAATTATTGCTTTAAAGAAGAAATTGAGTTTAGTGGAAACCAGTACAATTGCTAAAATTCCAGTTGATACCTAGGGAATGTTATAGGTAGTCCTCAATTTATAACAGTTTATTTAGCGACCGTTCGAAGGTACAACGGCACTGAAAAAAGTGATTTATGACCATTTTCACACTTATGACCATTATATGTAAACTCACTGAACAAATGCCTCATGTAGCAACAGAAATTTTGGGCTCAATTGTGGTCATAAGTGAAGGACTTACCTGTATAAGCTTTACCTGCAGAGATTACGTTTTGCTGCCTGAATTTGAAACAAACTCATTAAAAAAACAAAACAGCTGCCAAATAAGCTCATTAAAATCCCATGTCCTCTTAACCAAGGGATTTGGATTCTTTTGAGGTAATTGTTAAAAATTAAAATGATGAATCTTGAATATTACCCATTGCCATTATCCCCTACTATTTCAGATGCATACATGCATGCATGCATGTATGTATATATGTGTGTATGTAAGTAAATATTGAAGAATGACTCTTTTCTAAGCGGTCATTAAAGTGGGCCAATGCAATCTGCTCTGGTTCTCAAAAGTACTATGTGGACCAAGGACAAATCCCTGCCAGAGCATTCAGTCCATTCAGTTCTTTTTAAAGTCCCATCCTGCCTTAAGCAGGAATTTTCAACCTACTTTAGGAAAAAGCTCAAATTCCAAATTTTCCCAGGAACTTTGCAACCTCTGAGATATCTTCAGAGCCCTTCCCCTCGTTTCCCCAAGTTTGAAAATCTAGGATAAAATGAAAAGGAGATCTAGAAATAGTTTTTTACTGCAAATAAGAAAAAAAGAGAAAGAGCAGGTTCTTTGCATCAGTTCATAGATATATCTTGATTACATTTTTTTTAAAGTATCATAACAAGAAT